CTGATTTAGGGACTCGATCTAAGTGAAGCCATTTTGGTCCTATGGTTTTCTTTTTGACAGGGTGGTCACTTAACTTTCTGGAAGGTAACCAGAACAGGATTTGCCAATAAGAACAAGAGCAGCAGCATCTTCTCGAAAGCAGACCACTTCGGTCTGAAGTGGTGTGTGGTTTCTTTTCCCAGGCTTTTTTTTTTTCTTCCTTTTTTCTTTTTTCTTTTTTTCTGAGGCTTTTCAATCCTAGAGGTGGAGTAGAAAGGGGCAGGCTCAGTGGCCACCAATTTCTTCCTGGTTCTTTGATTCTCAAGAGATGAGCCTCCACCATATCCCTCTTCCCTCACACAGAGAGGTCTTTATGGTGAAGTTGTGGCAGGAACCACATTTCTTGTTGATAGCAAGACCGTATTAACAGGAGAAAACCCTAGACTTTCTGAATGAAGGAAGGAGCTTTGGTATTAGCCAGAAATGGTATTCTCTTTCCCTAAGTCAGATCCTCCAAGAGGAGGACCCACTTAGTCCTTGGATTTGTGAGTAGGTAAGTGTTGCACTTCCTAAAAGAGCATGCATCTACTCAAACCTACTCTTTGTAGAGCTTCATTTTTTGATAGTTTGAGTGCTTTTCATTTGTTTGTTTTTTGGTATAAACCAAGAGTATTAAGCATCGGTCTCTCCTAAAACACACAATTCGGGAGCCTAGTCGTCCATCAACTTTTGGGTAGTTTCAGGCAAAATTTCAAAGTGTTGGTGCTGAGACTGATGACCAGAGAACGAGGATGAAGTGGAGATGGAGTGTTGACAAGAATTCTGGGAAGATAAGGTAATGACAGAGTTGGAAAGTTTGAGGAGGGGTTTGACAGACCAACACACTTGAGTTCATGGTGTGGTCCCAGCTTGCCCAGATGAAGCTAATGTTGTTCTCAACTTCCTGACATCTCAAAGGTTTAAGAGGCCCCACTATCAAAGTAGTTGGTGGCATGCAGGTGTTTGTCAAGAGGATGTTTAGCTTGATGAAATCAGGAATCAGTGTAATGTGGGCTTGTAAGAGTAGAGCTGCAAGTCAAAATGAATATGATGCTTGAATATAATTCATTCTGTTCCTATGCAAAAGAGAGAAGAATGTTCTCAAGATGCAGGCAGATCATTTAGTATCACTGTGAAAGGGAACAAGTAACATGACAAGATTTTACTCTATCATAAGACAGAGATAACACAGCATTGCTATTTTAATTAGATGTGGGCCCTGTCTACTTAATCTTCATGTATTTAATGTTCCTTAGAACATATACATAATGATATACATAAAATCTCTTAAAAAAACTAGTTACTAGTGGCCACAGTAAATACTCCTATTGTGGATAAGTTTAAAAATAGCATATGATAAGAGAAAATTATATAACAAAGAATAAAATAAATTTTCAAAAACACCTAGGTAAACGTTCAATCTTAAAGAAGTAACCTAAATATGTGTAATTATTACGTATATTATTATGTTTTGCTTTTCGTTGTCTATTTTGACTAAGTCCCCAGTTAGCATTCTGAAAACTAGTGTCCCTGGGAGAAATATACTAGGGTGAATTTTAACCTTCTGTACCTGTTTGGAGGGGGCAACATAATGTTTCTCCTAAGACTGGGTTGGCAGGGAAGGATGCAGAACACACCACCCTGGGTGGGCAGAAGTGCAAGCGCAAATGGTGGGGTTTGGATGGGCAGAGATGGGGTGGCCCTAGTGCTCCCATCTTCGGTGTTTTCGACCTCTCAGCACCCCTGCTCTTTGGAGCAGCTGTCTGGAGGTGAATTGCACTTTCTGTCCAGGCTGGGATGAGGTCCCAGGTTCTTCACATTCTGGTCCCATTTCTTCAGCATCTCTGTTGACTCAAGGTCAGGGCTGTCCTGTGGTCCCCTGCAGAGGTGACAGAGATCATGCTACTCAAAAAACCCCAGCCCTCAATATCCCTATCCTCTAACACTCTGCACCTGTCCAACTTGCTCTTGGGGCACCCTCCTTTCCCCTAAATGAACTGGGACATCATGGTCAAGGTCACTCTGCTATAGTTATGATGAATTGCCAGTGTCTAGTTTCTCCTGACTCTGTCCCCTGGGGCAGAGGCACAGGTCTCTCTGTAAGCAGCAAGTCTGCCGGAGCTATTAGTTTGGGAGAGAAGTTCCCGGTGACGTTTCTGCGTGTGAGCTTGTCATGGTTTTATGACTTTTCGGTCAAGTCAGGAGGGCCTGTAACACAGAATCTACATTGAAGAAAGAAAGTGGGATGGACTGAGTCCTCTTGTACTAGTTTTGTGTGCAAAATACTTCCTTACTAAAGTTCTGCTGCTAAGGTTTACTTAATAGGGAAGAGTACAGACCTATGGAGGGCTGGGGGATACACTTGGCTTCTGGGATGATCATGATGGGAATTGTCTTCCTGAGATGAGCACTGTGAGGTCTGTAGAAACCTTCCCAGTAGGGCTAGGGCAGCTGGAGGTAGAAAGCTGCCTTGGAAGTGCTGACTGGCAGAGAAAGACATGAAGATGCGTCTGCCCTGGTGTTTACTTGGCACTGAGTCCAAGTGAGGCTCTGGGGCTCTAAGTAATGTCACAGAGAGGGAGAGCTGAATGGACTTTTGCATCACTCTCCCCTCCCCCTTCCCCACCTCCAAATATCCTTTCTATTTGCCAGGGCAAACGCTTAATAATGAGACTATTATCCCCCCGAGCAAGCAAATAATAGATGATTCCTGTGGGTAGATGGTAGCAAATATAGAGAGTGCCTGAGTATTGTCAAAGATGCAATGTTGATTAAAATTTTGTTGATACATGGCTTACACTGAATATTATAGGCAAATGACTTTCTGATAAAGAAATAGCCATACAATGATGATTAAATTTACCAAAGTATTTTTGGAGCTAGCCAGTTAGGCTTGATGAAATATGTGTTCAGTGATTATTTCATTTAAGATTATGGAAACTGCAAAAGTTCAGATGGTAAGTGTTACACTGCAAGGAGTAATTATAATATTCTGATGGATGTGAAAAAAACTTCCCAGCTTATTCTTTTAAAAAAATTTATTTATTGATTAATGAGAGACACACAGAGAGAGGAAGAGACATAGGTAGAGGGAAGAGCAGGAGAGCCTACTGCGGGACTTGATCCCAAGACCCTGGGATCACAACCTGAGCCAAAGGCAGATGCTCAACCACTGAGCTATCCAGGTGCCCCCCTCCCAACTTATTCTGTACAGTTATCTTAAGATGTTTAGAGTATGGCTTAAAGTATGTGATTTTCGTAAGGTTTTTTTAAAAAATATTTTATTTATTTATTCATAGAGACACAGAGAGAATGAGAGGCAGAGACACAGGCAGAGGGAGAAGCAGGCTCCATGCAGAGAGCCCAACGTGGGACTCGATCCAGGGTCTTCAGGATCACACCCCGGGCTGCAGGCGGTGCTAAACCGCTGCGCCACCGGGGCTGCCCTCGTAAGGTTTTATTGGAATATAATAGATATAGACAGTCATGTGCTAATTTTTAGGGTACAAGTCAACATTTTGTGTGGAGTTTGGTATAAGTTTAGATATGAAAATTAGAAAATGAGAGCAGTGGTCTGTAATTCAGTGGGGGTTGATGTGGCTTAAGGGTTTAAGAGAAGAACATTGGCTGTCAATAGGCACTTGGGTTGTTTGCATCTCCTGGCCATTGTGAATAGCAATGCTGTAAATGTGAGTGTTTGGTAGCTATTTTTTTTTTAAAGATTTTATTTATTTATTCATGAGAATACACAGAGAGGAGAGAAAGAAGCAGAGACACAGGCAGAGGGAGAAGCAGGCTCCATGCAGGGAGCTGGACGTGGGACTGGACCCCGGGTCTCCAGGATCACACCCTGGGCTGCAGGCGGTGCGAAACCGCTGAGCCACAGGGGCTGCCCTTGGTAGCTATTTTAAGCGAGCTAATCTTTATTTTTTTTCTTCCTTCTAGTACATGTATGGCTTAATCTTTTTTTGGCATTTATTTATTTATTTATTTTATTTATGATTTTATTTATTTGAGAGAGAGAGAGAGCATGAGCAGGGGGAGGGAGGGGCAGAGGGAGAGGAAGAAGCAGATTCTCCACTGAGCAGGAAGCCCAACACCAGGCACCATCCCGAGACCCCGAGATCATGACCCAAGCTGAAGGCAGACATTTAATCAACTGAGCCACCCAGGCACCCAATTTTTTTGCATCTTGATATCTAAGGTATTTGAGGTTTATTTTGGCTTATAGTGGGAGGAATGGGTCCAATTTTACCTTTTTTCCCCATAAAGTCATTTCCTAGCGATTTGCTACCTTTATCAAATATTAAATTGAGTCTTGTATGGAATTTCAATTCTGCCCCTTTGGTCTGCTTGTCCTACACATAGCACTGGCATACAGTTTTAGTCTATTTTAATATCTTGTAGGGAACTCTCTGGTAGGGTGGAGAGTAGAGAGCTTTGCCCAGGGGGGAGATGCATCTTTCCACCTTCTCCAAGGTGATGGTGATGGTGGTGGGGGGTGGGCAAGAGAAATGGGGGAATGGTTGGCTTGGAGCAGGGGAAGAAGCTCATCCTGATCCTCATGATGGTGTGAGGGGTTAATTTGTCCTGGGATAGAATTCCATTTTCTGTTTTGTGTTTGTGTTTTTTCTTTAAGATTTCATTTATTTATTCATGAGAGACACACACAGAGAGGCAGGAACACAGGCAGAGGGAGAAACAGGCTCCATGCAGGAAGCCCTATGCGGGACTGGATCCCAGGACTCCAGGATCATGCCCTGAGCCAAAGGCGGACCTCCAACCCCTGGGCCACCCCGGCGGCTCAAGAACCCCATTTCCTAGAGGAGCTCAGACTGTTCTAGGATGCGTTTGTTGTGTACTGAACGATGTTTAATGAACACATGAGAAATCAGTTATTTCCATCCTAGACAGGGACATTTATTAAGGTTCTGGCACCCGCCCCGGGAGCCGCCCCAGAGCAGAGTCAGTCACAGCTGGGTCTAGGGCTGGCACTGCTGTGGGAAGCGTCTCATTGTTCTCCTTATCCAGGGCATGAAGGCCGAAATCCTGGTGAAGACTGCTGGAGGAGTCCCCCTCGTATCTCCATAGGAGACAATGCCCTGGGCCACGCCGTTACACACCAGGGGGCCTCCGGAGTCGCCCTGCGGGCATGGAGAGGAAGAGACCCTAAGCCAGGCTTACCCCCACTCCTGCTGCCCTAAGGCCTGGCTCTCGGAGAAAGCTGCTGCTGCTGGCGGTGGCGGTGCGGGGTAGGGGGTGGTGGGTTTTGAAATGGGAGGGCGCTGGAGGTATGGAAGTCAACCTTCTGGATCTTTCCATGGCTGGGCTTCAAGCCTGGCTACAGTTACCGCCTCTAGCCCAAGTCAAAGTACCTTCACCTTCTGCAGGAAACCCCTGCACCTGTTTAGGATGCGCGGCCAGTGCTCCTCCCTTCGCCCCAGGGACCCGATTGATGGCCGAGCCCCCGCCGCACTCCGCTCTGCCCGCACCACACCGGGGCCTCGGGGATGTAGCTACGGCCCAGCCTGCCCGGGGCCCTGTGCCCCCGGCCTTACCGAGAAGGCGGACTTCTGGGCCCTTGGGCTTCCCACACAAATCTGCGTTTGGCCGTTGAAGAAACTGAAGCGACGGGAGCACCTCGAATTGTTCTGCACGGTCAGCTGCACCTCATGGAGTTTGTTCGTCCTCCTGTTGAGGCCCAGCAGGCCCCAGCCCGCCACCGTGCACGTGGCCCCGGGTCTCAGCGTGGCCTGCGCGCGAGGCAGGGGCACCGGCCTCACCTGGCGCGTGCGCCTCGTCCTGTTGGCCAGCTGGCGGAGGGGCAGCGCTCAGCGGCGGCCCGCGGGCGCCCCGCCCCGCCGCACCCCGCCCTGCTGCCTCCCCCCCCCCCCCCCCCCCCCCCCGCCGGCGCTGGGAGCGCCTGGCTGGGGCGGTACCTGCAGGAGCATGATGTCGTTCGTTATGGTCTGGGGATTGTAGCTGGGGTGTCGGATGGCCCTGCGCGCAGTGGTGCGCTGCTGGACTCGTTCCCGCCTCCCAATGTCGTGGGCTCCCAGGGTCACGGTGATACGGCTGCAGAGGACAGGTGGCCTAGAGGTAGGTGCGAGCCCCAGGAGCTCCGCCCGCCAGCTCCGCGGGGCAGGCGGACAGCCCAGGGCGGCAAGGCCGCAGCTGAGGCAATTGAGGGGACAGGAGGGGCCCAGGGGCCCAGCTCTGAGCTGAGGGTGGTGGGGGCCGGGGTTTGCTTCCCCTTGAATAAGCTGAGAAATAGCTTGATTCCTATTTTGAACCCCAGCATGTGTCTGCATCTCCCCCTCGTGCTCTTTTGATCATGCCCTCCTTTTCCCCTCATTCACCCCGTCGCCGCCTCCGGAGCGCCCCTGGTCTCTCTCTCTCGCTTCTGCATCCCGGGGGCGCCGCGCCCGTGGCCGGCCTGGGCTCGGCCTGGGCTCGGCCTGGGCTCTGCAGCGCCGGCGGCAGTGGTAGTGGCCGAGCGGGAACCCCTGCGCCGCTCACCTTCCCCAGCAGTGAGCTGCGGTCAGCACAAAGTCTTCTCTCACCAGGAAACCCCCGCAAGCACTGGAGCCGCCGTTTGGAGCCCGGATTCGGAGATACGCCATGTAGGGGCGGGAATGAGGCCTGGCCTCTCGGCCTCCGATGATCTCCCCTGGAAGGAAGCGTGGGGCACTCACCTCTGTGCTCTCCGAACCCGCAGTGCGGGCACCAGGAGGGCAGCTCCAGAAAGGCCGGCAGATGGGGAGGCGGGAGAGATGATACAGCTACCGGGAAGGAGGAATGGTGGTGAGAATTGGGTCTGCAGGGCACCGCACGCTGGGACAGGGCTCGTGGGTTCTGCAGGAAACACTGCTGGCTCGTCATCCCGGCGTGCGGCTTCCTCCCGGCTCCCAGGAGAGCAGCCCGGCCCCGGCTCCAGGCAGGGTCAGCCTTGGGCTCCCATGGTGAGGAGAGATGCTCTGCTGCTGGGTGGCAAGTCAGGAGCCCTTTGGAGAGGCTTCTCCCCAAGTTCCTTGGCACTTTCTTCCTCAGGGAGATTCCCGGGTCCCTCTGAGACCTGCTCAGGGCCTGCTCATGACCAGCACCAGTCTGAGTTTCCAGAATCTAGACATGAGCCAGTGGTAGTTATTGTGCATTCTTATTGCCTACGCTCAGACAGGTGGACTGCAGAATGGATTTATACTACATATATGCTATGTGCTGGGGCAATTCCAAGAGTTGTTGTTGTTGTTGTTGTTGTTGTTGTTTTTTATGTACACTGACTTAATCCTCATAGAACTCTAGGAGGTATGCACTGGTATTCTAATTTATAAATGAGGAATCCGAGGCGCTGTGAATTCAAACAATTTGCCCAATGATACAGAGTTAGGAGCTATCTAGGCAGTCTGGCTTGAGGGTCCCGGAGAAGGGTCAGGCCTGAGATTGGGGATGGTCACTCACCTGCCCCAGCCCCAGGGGGTAGAAGAAAGGCCACCAGGAACAGGAACAGTGGCATCTTCTTGGGAAGGCTGCCCCAGTCAGGTGCTGTGGGGTGCTCTCTCCTGCCAGTCTTGTAGCCCCTGAGAGAGGAAGGAAGTCGGGGCGGGGGTGGGGGTGGGGCTCGAGAACAGTCCCATTCTCCTGCTGGTGTGATAGGTTTCATCATCCAAGGCTGCCCAGGAGGCTGGCCCACCAACTGCCAGTGACCTAGGGAAGATTGTAGTCTAGGTCAACACCACAGTCTCCTGCACAGCTGCTAAGTCAGTGCTGGCAGCACAAATGGGAACCTGGGGCGACAGAGAAGGGGATTTGGGGTGCTGTGTCCCAGAACCCTAAACCCACCAAATTCAATAATACCTTAACAATGTATGAAAGCCAGTAGCTGCCTATCTCCTTGGTTTCCAAACTCTCTAGGATTAGAGCCTTAGTCCTTTGGAACTTCAGAGTTTCTCTTAATAAATGCACATTTCCTAGATTACTTATTTAATTTATACCTTGGTAAGGTGTGGACATGGGTGAATGACAGATGGGTGTGGGTGGTGGTGGAATGCGGTGAAGGCACCAGGAGTAAGTTGGAGGAAGCAAAAGAGGGATGAGGAAGCCTGCCTGTCTTTACCCTTTGGCCCCTGGACACCCCCCCCCCCCACTCCGCTGCTATCATTGCTGCTCCCACTCCTCCTCCTCCTTCTTCTTTTTTTTTTTAAAGAATTTATTTATTTTTTCATGAGAGACAAAAAGAGAGAGGCAGAGACAAGCAGAAGGGGAAGCACGCTCCCTGCAGGGAACTTGATGTGGGACTTGATCCCAAGACCCCGGGATCATGCCCTGAGCTGAAGGCAGAAGCTCAACTACTGAGCCACCCAGGTGTCCCATGCTGCTCCCACTTCTTTCTGGAAGGTGTCAAGGAAGACTGAGTAGCTCTCCTGAGTGGGTGCAGGGCATTCCCAGGGAAGGAAGAGAGAAGAACAAGGCTGTGCTGCTGCTAATTACTTTCTCAGGACGCTTGAGCCCCAACAAACTCTCAGTGAAAATGATGACACAGTGGAAGATTTCTGTTTTCTGGCTTCCTACTCAAGGTGAGGACCTCTGTGTGCCAGAAGGTACCTTGCATACAGAAAAAGCCTAGAGACTTGCTTTTGTTGAGAACTGTCAGACCCTAGCTGGAAGAAAAACAACTAAAGAAAAACTCCCTTTCGTCGGAGATAGAAGTCCAATTAACATAATCCCCATGCTCTGCCCCAGGGGCTTCTGGGAAGGAAATGCATGCCTGCTGTGCTGTTGGTAATACGTAGAGAACCTTCACTCCACATCAGGAGGAAGGCGTTTGCAGATCATGGCAGAGTAACACAGACACCCTCAAAAATACTCAGGCGGTTCTGTGGATGCACAGAAAAACATTGTAATACAGTATATAATTTTTGCAAAAATTTCAATTAAAATTTAATACAATTCTTAAACCTTTATGGAATGTGAGAGCTCCACTTGAAGAGCTTATGAAAATTAAGGATCCTCTCCTTACATATAAATACACATGATTTTCACAGCTACAAAGAACTTAATCCCTTTTCTGATGCATGCTTAATGATTGCAACCTCATGAAATTTCTTTATGCATCTGAAAAAAGAGAAAATATTATAACGCTTTATTAATGCCTTAGCATTAGAGGTGATTTTAAATTATTGTTACTTAACTTTTTCAACACTTTGTTTTAAAACCATTAATCTAACTTTTTAAAAATTAAAAAAAACTTTAAAAATTTTATTTATTCATGAGAGACACACAGAGAGAGGCAGAGACATAGGCAGAGGGAGAAGCAGGGTCCCTGTGGGGAGCCCGATGTGGGACTTGATCCCAGGACCCCGGGATCAAGCCCTGAGCCAAAGGCAGAAGCTCAACTACTGAGCCACCCAGGCATCCCTAACTTTTTTTAAAAAAAGATTTTATTTATTTATTTGAAAGAGAGAGAGAGGGAGTGAGCATGTGTGAGAGGAGGTGGGTGGGAGGGGCTCAGCAGGGTGAGGGGAGTCTGCTAAAGTTTCTCTCTCCCTCTACGTCTACCCCTCCCCTGCCATGTACACAAATACACACACACTCTCTCTCTCAGAAATAAATAAATAAATCTTAAAACAACCACAACAAAAAAGTCACAATGGTAAGTTAATTCTGGGGTTGGAGGGCAGAGAGGGTATTTTGATTGGGAGGAGACACATAGAGGGTAGTTTCTGAAATTTGGCCATCGTTTGAATTTTTTTTAATTTTTTAAAATTTTTTTTATTTATGATAGTCACACACAGAGAGAGAGGCAGAGACACAGGCAGAGGGAGAAGCAGGCTCCATGCACTGTGAGCCCGACGTGGGACTCGATCCCGGGTCTCCAGAATCGCACCCTGGGCCAAAGGCAGGCGCTAAACCGCTGTGCCACCCAGGGATCCCCCATCGTTTGAATTTTGTTCACTTTACATGTGTGTGTATATTTTGCAATAAAAATTTTTTTAGAAATCTGTTTGCCAGGGTTGGGGATTAGAGAGAACATTTGGACAGAGAATGGAATGTGGGAGAATAAATATGGGCACATATGTTTTTAATGTTTTTATTTTCTATTTTAATAAAAATTCTGATATTGGAACAAGTAAGACTGTGATACATTTCACAATATTCATAGGTGGTTACATTTACTTTTGACTGTTTTATTACATTTCCGTCAGTTACAATATTTTTCTCCTTTGGGAGGTTGGGACATGAAAGTAGGATGTTTCCCACCTCCTCTTGGGGGGGCCCCCTTGTGCATACAGCCAAAATGCAGATCTTCTGGGCAGGCAGTTAGTTGCCTTCTGAGGCTGGGCCACTTCCCTCTCTCCCTCCCTTTGATACTGCTCTGGTCAGAAACCAATCTGGGTGCTTTTGGCATTGTGGGAGACCGTTGTACTACTGGGCCATTCCGGACATTCTCAGTGCTGCCTTAACATCACATTTAGAAGGACAGATGGAAGCTCCTTGGGAGGTCTACTGATGAGCTTGTGATATTTTTCTGGAGTGCCAGTGTGGAAAGAAGCCCGTGTCTTCTCTATTGTCTACACACACACACACACACACACACACACACACACACACACACAAACACAGACATGTCTGCTGTGAGTGAGATACTTTCTTGCCAAGGACTGGCTTGTGCTGTGTGCTCCAGCAGGAAGGAGTAGGTGACAAAGGAAATTCTATGGGATCTGCAAACAATCTCCCCATCAGAGTAAGTGAAGGGGATAGAGGGACCCAGAAACCCTGAATGTGGCAGAGAAAACTTTGAAAAGAGGTTCAAGGCCCTCAGTATTTCCTGGCAGAAAAGCTTACTTTGGGCTGAGTAGCTGACCCTGGGGCCCTGGGTAAATGTAAGATAAGAGGTGGAGGTGAGCATATTCCCTGAGACTCTCTTCTCCAAATGCTTAGACCATCCAACTCTTCAGCAATAGGAGATCAGTAATATTAATTCTGATATATTCATGGGATGAAATGCTATCCAGCCATTAAACAGCATCATGTTTTTAAAGACATGGAGCACTTTACATCATCTGATATTAAGTGGAAAAAGTAGAATGTGGAAGGATGCATACAATTTGATACTAATTTTTTTTCTAAAGATTTATTCATTTATTCATGAGAGATACAGAGAGAGAGGCAGAGAGAGAAGCAGGCACCCCACAGGGAGCCTGATGCCGGACTCAATCCCAGGATCCCAGGATCACAACCTGAGCCGAAGGCAGATGCTCAGCCACTGAACCACCCAGGCACCCCAATACTAATTCTGTTAAAAAAGATCAACAGCCAGAACAATCATTTTATGACTCTTATTTTCCCTTTTATATTATCCAATTTTTTTCTATAATGGATATGTGTTAGTCTATAGGCAGAACAAAATTTAGGGCCAATAAGCCTTATAAACAGCAAACAAACGCTATAAATTGTGGCAGAGGTGAGCTAGCAGTTTAGCAAAACAGCTTCCTCTTTTTCCAGAGGATCTAGGTGCATCTCGTTGTCCAGCCTCACTTGAAGTTAGGTATGACTATGTGACTGCATAGCAAACCAGATGTGAGTGGAAATGGTGTAGGTACCCTCCAGAGCTGGCCTATCTCCTGCTCCCATGCCTGACCATCTAGGTTCTTCCCCTACCTGGGTTTGCCCCAGATGAACACGGGGAACTTGGGAGCCATCTTTAGAAGCCTGCATCTGGGTTCCTTAATCATGGGCACACATGTAATTTATTGTCCCAGCTGGGGCCCTTGAGTGTGCAAAGGGGCACTACTCACCATTCATCTTGGACCATGTGTGAGCAAGAAATAAGGTTCTATTGTGTTAGTCACTGAACTGCTAAAGTCTATTTGGTAGAATAGTTAGGGTTATTTTAACTAACACATGTACCCACTTACTTAAGCCTACTTTTTCTGACATGGAATATTTTCTTTAATAAAATTGTTTAATAATTATAAAATTTAAATATCAAATACATTAAAAAAGAGGAAGAAAAAAAGTCAGCCTGAATCCTACCAGCCAACCTATATATTATAATTATATATATTTATATATAATTAATATATATATAATTATATAATATAAAAATATAGAATTGTATCATATATAATACATATATTACATTTTCTATATATAATATATATTTCCCATATATAAAAATATATACATATGTATTTTTTCCATATATAATTATATATATTATATAATTATACAATTATATATAATAATATATAATATAATATATAATTAATAGATATATTTCCAGCTAGGGGTTTTTCAATACTCATATAGGTGTGATTATAATGTATTTGGATTTTTTTTCAAGATTTTATTCATTTATTCATGAGAGACACACACAGAGAGAGAGAGAGAGAGAGAGGTAGAGACACAGGCAGAGGGAGAAGCAGGCTCCATGCAAGGAGCCTGAAGTGGGATTCGATCCCAGGACCCCAGGATCACGCCCTGGGCCAAAGGCAGGCACCAAACCTCTGAGCCACCCAGGGATCCCCAATGTATTGGTTTTGAATCCCATAGTTTAAATTATCCAACATAAACATCTCCCTCATTTTATTAAATATATGTTGATGAATATTGTTTTAAAATCTCATTCGTATTAGGGCGCCTGGGTAGTGGTGTCTGCCTTTGGCTCAGGTCATGGTCCCGGGGTCCTGGATCAAGCTCCGCATGGGGCTCCCTGCTCAGTGGGAAGTCTGCTTTTTCATCTTTTGCTACTCCTCCCTCCTATCCTCGTCTCAGGACATGGCCTCTACCATGCATAGATTGGAAACCTCAGGACCTGTGGGTCTCTAACTTTTTTACAATTTCTCATTGCCCTTCTGGAACCAAACAAAATCATGCATGTGAAACTAGTGGGTGATACAGATAAAATTCAGGGATTTTAGTTATTTTCAGGACAAGTTTTCTCACAGATTCTAAATATAGATCCTTTGTGCCAAACCTAAACTGCTTGGTGGAAAGAGAAGAACCAGGGGAATTTAGGAGACATTTCTTACTAAGTTTCCCAATGGCAGGGACAGAGCCCATCTTGTGCCTGGCACAAAAGCAGAGATCTGACATTTGATCTGCTGACGGATGGCATGTGGTACTTTACAGGCCCAGAGCCTGGAGGCTCTAGCTCACAAAGCTGCCATAACCCAGGCTGCCAGCAGGGAGACTTGTGGTCCTGAGACAAGGCCAGGCTGAAAGGGGCTGAGGCTATTGAGTGACTCCACAGGCTATAGCAGGGTCACTATAAGCCCCTGGGGGTGGGGATGCTGGTTTGGACTGAGGGGCTCAGCTGGTCCTACCCTTTGGGAGGTGGGTATTGGCTCCTCTGATAGGCATCTGGCAGGCTGGCAGCTCAAATGTGCCAGGATAGAAAATAGAGGCTGTTGTGGGATGGCTAGCCAGGGAGGAGCTTGACTAAATTCAGTGCTGACCTCTGGGCAAGGCATGGAAGGGAAACCAGGGTGAGGCTGGTTTCTCAGCCTCCTAACCTGCACACAGTCCTGCCTGTAGGAGAAACCTGCGTGCCCCCACCCCCTTCCCCACTGCAGAGAGAGAGAGAGAGCCCCTGGAAACAGGACCCTGAGTGCCTGTGGCATGGCCCTCTGGCCTTCTGGATCCCTGGAGTTACTGACCAAATTGTTGGATTGGTGATGCTGGTTGGCTTAGAGAAGTTGAGAAATTTCTAAGTCCCAGAGAGGATACTTTTTGGGGACAGAAGATCGTCCTTCTATAGTAGAGTTTAGGCTGAACCTTTGTAGCGGGCTAAGCACCAAAGAGGTGTTATTAAGAAACTGATGAGAAACTGGACATCATAGGGTTTAGGGAGGACGGAGGGCTGGAGGAGGCAGGAAAGCCAGGAATTGGCAGCAGAAGATTATCTGGAGTGATGTTGCTGCATACTCGAGGTAGTTCAGTGAATCAGTAAGATCTTAGTCATATTCTCTCTAGAGATCCATTTACTATGGCCCTGCAATCCCTACCCCCGACCCCCCAGTCCCAAGGGATTCTTGCCTCTGCCCCAGAAAAGATGGCCAAGCACAGAGGGAGGTCAATCTCATGCCTGCTGTTAGAGGTGCTTTATTGTTCTCTTTATCCAGGGCAGGAAGTGTGAGACCTTCATGAAGACCCCTGGAGGTGTCCCATCACTTTTTCCATAGGAGAAAATCCCCTGGACCACGTTGTTACACACGAGGGGGCCCCCAGAGTCCCCCTGTGGGCAGAAGGAGGAAGGACTGAGCTGGCTTCTGGTGGTCCTGCCCTCCCCACTACCCTGGGGATGAGTGGTCTGTGTTAGGGGGCTGCATGGGTGATTGGGCCCAGGGCAGGCCCTGTCCCCTCTCTCAGTCCCTGGGCTCTAGTTTGGCACTGACTGCTCTTTCCAATGCCACCCAGGCCAAACCTCTCTCTCCAATCCCCAGGGAACCTCAGGTGGTAATGCTGCTGTGGAATGACTGATCCTCCCCTACTCCCGGCCTGATCCCCTTGGGGAAAAACTGAAGACTGGATTTGTGGACCTAGCTGCCTAAGCTCTAGGCTGAGGAACGAATATATGGCCACTCTCAACCCCCGACCTCTCCAGGTTCCTCCCTCCTGGGGCCTGTCTAGGTGGACGCTGGAAGCCTGACCTTGAAGCCGGTCTTCATCTTCTTTGGGTCTCCTACACAAATATGGGTGGCTCCCATATAATAGTCGTGGAAGATGGATCTGCACTCCCAATCTGTCTGCACTTCCAGTGACACCTCCTGCAGGGTGGTTGCTAAGGTGTCCATCGAGATCCGGCCCCAGCCGGCCACGCTGCACACCTGTCCTGGCCTCACCCGGGCCTTGCCCCTGGGCAGGGGGAGAGTCTTCACAGCCGCAGTCAACTTGGCCTTCCTCTCCAGCTGACGGGAAGAGGTAAAAGAGTCCAGCTCAGCCAGTGACCTCTGGGCCTGACACCCCGATGAGGCGGCAGTATCTTCTCTCTCCCGTGAGCCTCTGGGACTGGACAGGTGGCCAGCATGGGAAGGATGGCAGGGACAGGTCCCAGTGGGAGGGAAACAGTCTGGACCCAGGAGGGCAAGAGCTGCAGGGAGGTTTCCTTACCAGCAGTAGCATGATGTCACTGGAGTAGTTCTTTGGACTATAGTCTGGGTGGCGGATGGCTCTTCTCACGGGGATGACCTGCTGGGTCTTCTCCTGTTCCTTGATGTTGTGGGCGCCCAGGGTGACTCTGATGGAGCTGCACAGAGAGCAGAGTGGGGTGTGGGGGTGTGGAGTCACAGGGTACAGCCTGGGAGTCGAGAGGGCAGGTGGCAGCCAGGGCAGGGCAGCTGAGAGGGAAATCAAGGTGATAGATGGGAGGCAGCCCGGGTGGCTCAGTAGTTTAGTGCTGCCTTCAGCCCGGGGCCTGATCCTGGAGACCTGGGATTGAGTCCCACGTCAGGATCCCCGCATGGAGCCTGCTTCTCCCTCTCCCGGTGTCTCTGCCTCCTTCTCTCTCTCTCTCTCTCAGGAATAAATAAATAAAATCTTAAAAAAAAAAAAAGGTGGCTGATGGGTCCTGGATCCTTTATTTTCCAATGACACTGAAGGTAGGGCTTTTGGCAGCTTCCTTTGCCCTCAGGCAATATCATGAAATCACTCTGAGTTTGCACTTTGGCTCTAAGGCATGCTTGCATCCTCCATTGCTGCTCTATTTGCCTGGTATGGTCCCTCCCTTCTCAACCTTGCCGCTTACTCTCACATCTGACCCTCTGACCCCAAAGCTTACCAGCTACCTCTCAGCCTTTCATTGCCCCAGCCATGCTCTCAGCTAGTTCTCAGGAGCCCCAGGTGCTTCCCTGGGCTGTAGCCCTTGGGAATCCGACAGGGATCCCTGTAGGTTTCTCAGATGTGTGGGCTGGCTGCTGCCCCTCACCTTCCCCAGCAGTGAGCAGCCGTCAGAACAAAGTCCTTGTGCACGAGGACACCACCACACCTCTTCTTACTGTCCTTATCCAGAAACTGAACAAACGCCATGTAGGGCCGGGAGTGGGGCTTGGCCTCATGGCCCCCGATGATCTTCTCTGAAAGAAAAAACTGGGAGATGGGGTACCTGGGGGTGGCTGTGGTCAGGAGAGAAGGCTCAGGAAGGTAGTGATCAAGGGTGGGGTCTATAGTGCCCTGTGGATCCCTGGTTCTTGTAGCAGGATGACCTTTCTTGAGCCTCAAGCCTCAGAACCCCACTGAGAAGGGGGCAGGGCCTGTTCTCTATATCCCACTTCAGATACATGTTTGGTGGAGATAAGATCTATCTTTAAGATGATGGAGTCCCAGGGGATCCTGGAGTCCCAGAGTGAACCTCTGCTCACTACCCAATGGATGCCATTTTCTAATAAGTTACCTATGAGTTACGGAGTTGCATTTTCTAATATCCCCATGTTCTAGGGCCTAGCATCCGAGGGTCCCAGCAGACATTTTTAGGTTGCACAAAGGGATGGCCTTCAATGAGCTTCTGGCTGAGGTTGGGTGGAGACAGTGCTGGTGGGATTCGATGCCACAAGAATGGAAGACGGCACTGCTGGAGACAGTGGAGCAGCCACGGGCCAGGGCAGGCAAGGGGAGGTGATGCCAACAACGGGCTGCACGGGCGGGGCAGAGCTTTGGGTGTAGTCATCTAGCTGCTGCTGAGGTCAGTGGCGCCCCGGGCTCCTCTCCCGGGCAGGACTGAGTGGCTAGAAACAAGTACTGAGACATTTAACTGGCTCTTTATGCTGGGTTCAGTGACAAATCCCGTTACTGCAACTGGTCTGCCTGAGCTTACCTTTCCTGGGTTGGAATGCGGGCTTTTGATTGCCTGTCTTTCACAGCTTCATATCTTCTGCCAAATGCCTTTCTCCAAACAACTCACTTTCCAAATGATAAGAGGGAGGCTACCCCCTATTAACCCTTTTAGTGAGCACCCTGGCTGCCGGCCTTCTTTGGTGAGCATATGTCCAGCCTCAGACCTGTTAGTCTGGGTTTGGGGTAGAGCTGGGCTTCAGAAAGTCCCCAGGCTCAAATTGAGGACAATCCCTGACTGTGCTGGGCTGAAGGGTCAAGAAGAGTACAGGGGGTTTGTGGAATGGGCTCAGGTCTCTGGAATAGGGACAGTCACTCACCTGTCTCAGCCCCAACAGGCAGAAGAAGGGCCAACAAAAGGAGGAGTGGCTGCATCTTCCCTGAAGGCCTGCCCAGGTCAGAGAAGCTGGTCTTTCTTCCTTCCAGATACAAAGCCCTGAGGGGAACAATAGAGGGGTGGCTCACTGATCTTCTAGGCCTCTTCAACTTGTGCTCCTCTACAGCTGGATGTTATCATATAAGATGGTTTGTCGAAGTTCTCTAGCTTGGGTTGGGTGAGAATAGTGCAGCCACAACACTTGCACCCCCACTCCTGAGTCATAAGGGGAAAGCAAGAAGAAAGAACAAGAAAGTGAAGGCTGTGGCTACAACCAGCAGGAGGGCTGGTACCTCAGAACCCCTCAATGACTGAATCAAGAATGTTTCCATTTCTCTTGGCTCTTTTTCCATTCTGAGGAAATCGTGAATACTTATTTAGCTATCTAGGTCCAGAGTTATGAGAGACATAGCTCTTGCCCTTGAGATGCTGATGGTTGTCTGGAGCAGACTAAAACTCTGTGGTGAGTGTACATTTCCCCATAGTTGAAGCACCCTCATCAGTGGCAGACAGCAAATCAGTTTTTCTTTTCAGCCTGCCTTCTCTAAGGTGGATGTTTTAAAAATGAGATTACTTCTATGAATACATTCTTATATAAGAGGCTTAGAAATTGTTGAAAACTGGCAGAAAAAATTTACTCAACTATGGGCTATATATAAGACATTTTTGAAACCGTAGGATACCTTTGAAACACAACTTTTTATTGTAATGAGTTTCCTTTAGAGACACATACAACATACACACACATGTATGCACACACACATGGAAATAGCATGACGTGGGAAGAGGCTGGATCAGACCAAGAGAGAAAAGCACCCTCAACGTCATTTGGGGTTGCTGGAAGATGGGTGGCAGGACACCAGAGGCTGTGCTGGGATTTGGGACCACAGCAAGGCTGTGACTGGCACTTGGGCTAGGCCTGGGGATACTGAAGGGCCCTCTTGTAACCCCTAGACCCCCAAGCTGCCACTCTGATTTGGGGAAGGAATACTGCATGGGGTGAGCTACAGCTTTCTAGAATCTTCTTGCCCATTTCTATTAGGATGACGTGGCTCCCTATATCAGAGCTTCTTAGGTGATCCTCCTTCCAAATGTGGATTCCTTTATGTTGCCTTACTGGGGTAGGATGAGGTGGGGGTGTAGGTGTGGGATAAGGTAGGAGGGCAATGCAGATGAGAAAAGAGGGTCCCCTAAAGAGGGTCATTTTTCTTGGGGCAGTGTCTCCCTTTTCCTTCTGGAGCTTACATTCAGCCTGTCAGTGGGAGAGGGTGCTAGGAGATGTATTTGGAAGGAGCTGGGTATCAGAGCAGCAGGATTTTTATTCTAGGGCTATGTGAACAGATGGTTGGGGGATACGCAGTAGGTAACTAACGAATGTTGTTTTGGTGAATAAAGGAGGAATCTAATTTCCACTCCAGAGAAGGAAGTTTATTAAGCCCCTGGCAGCCTCCTCTCCACCCTCTTTCCCAGTGCAGTTCTGGCCTCTGCCTCAGAGAAGGTGGACAGACTGATCCTGGGGGTGTCTCAGTCTGGGCCCTGCAGGGTGAAGCATCTCATTGTTCTTTCTATCTAGTGCAAAAAGCTCAAGATCCTGGTGGAGACACGTGGAAGTTCCCCAACCTTTTTTCCAAAGGAGACAATGCCCTGGGCCACGTCATTACACACGAGGAGGCCCCTGGAGTCTCCCTGTGGGCAGAGGGAGGAAGGACTGAGCTGGGCCTGCTGTCCTCCCTGCCACCAGTGGGAGTAGGGTGGTCTCCCCCAGGGAGACAGGACCAGAGACTGGATTGGATGGAAAGGCTGAGGACATAGAGATACAGCTAGTTCTCACTGCCCATTCTCCTCAAAGCTTAGCTGTCCCAAGACTGGGCATGGATTATGCTGGGGAATCTCATCTTAAAAGAAGACTTCTTTTTTGGGCTCTCCATGCACATTTGAGTGATGCTGTTGTAGAGGTCTTTACAGCATGAGATGCACTGCTTGTCCCTCTGGACTTCAAGCTCTACCTCCTGCAGTTTCCTCACCCCAGAGGTGCTGTTCCTGCTGAGGATCCCTGGTTACACGGCATATCACCCCTGGCCTCACCTGTGCACTCTTCTTGGGCAGCCGGAGGGGGCTCACATTGGCAATCAGGTGGACCTTCCTTTTTAGCTGAATGCAGAGGAGAGGAATTTTAATCTACTGATGGCTCACAAAGACTCACAGGGACAGTCATGAGGTTGCTTTCCTCACAGCCCAGGACAAATGAAAATGTCATACAGGGAAGGAGGCACAGAAATGAGGTCACAGGGGAAGCAGAACCCCCAGGAATAAAGTGTGCAAGAACCAGTGGAGCGAGGGTTCTACCAGCAGTAACAGATGTCACTGAAGATGCATTTAGGATTATAGACTGGGTGGAGGATGGCTTTTTTCACTGAAATGACCTGCTGGGTCCTCTCCTGCTTCTTGATGTTGTGGGTGTCCAGGACGACTTTGATGGAGCTGCACAGAGAACAGAGTGAGAGGTGGGATCACAGGAGGTGCAGCCCAAAAGCCGTGGAGGAAACAGGACAGCTCAGGGCAGGGCAGGACTGGAATGGGGAGGAATCACAGGGGACGGGGCCCGAGGGCTGAGGATCTCTGTACCTTCTGCTTCTTGGCAGCCCAGGCTGGGTAGCAGTTCTTGGAAGAGGATTTCCCATGAGGTGTTAACAGAAGGGCAGGCTTCCAGGCGCTGTTTCTCACCTTCCCCAGCAGCGAGCTACTGTTAGCACAAACTTCTCATATACGAGGAAACCCCCACAGGTCTTATTTGGATCCTGGAACCAGAGAAATGCCATGAGGGATGAGAATGATGCTTGGCCTCATGGCCCCTGATTATTTTCCCTGAAAGAAAAATATTGCCCTGCCTGCTGTGCTCATGGAGCCAAAGGCTGGAGAAGGGGAGATAGATATAAATGGGAGCAGGTGGAAAGGAGTTGGGGTGGCTGAGAGCAAGGTCGTTAGGGGTCAGCAGCAACCAAGAAGGGCTCCTTGGATGGCATTCCTCTTTTGCCAAAAGACCCACAAGACTAAGATTCTCCTTCTAAAAAAGAGAACAACAGTCCTTGTTCCTTAATTCCTGCTGCAGACCCATATGGTGGCAGACAGAATTTGCATTTGGCATAAGCAGTGAAGTCCCCATAGATCCTGGAAGATCCTTTCCCTGATAGTATGTGGGTCCTCTCTTCCCCTGTGTTTCCCAGACATTACTGAACTGCTCCTTGTTTGTAACGTTTGGAACATGAGGTCAAAATGGAGGCTAGGACTTCCATCTAGTACCGTGTTGAACAGCATGGCGATAGTGGACATCTTTACCTTGTGCTGACCTTAGGGACAAAGCTCTCAGTTTTTCCCCATTGAGAATGATATTCACCGTGGGCCTTTCATATACAGCTTTTATGATATCGAGGTATTTTTCCCTCTATCACTACACTCTGAAGAGTTTTATTTTTTTTTATTTTTTTATTTTTTTTAAATTTATTTATGATAGTCACAGAGAGAGAGAGAGGCAGAGACACAGGCAGAGGGAGAAGCAGGCTCCATGCACCGGGAGCCCGACGTGGGATTCGATCCCGGGTCTCCAGGATCGCGCCCTGGGCCAAAGGCAGGTGCCAAACTGCTGCGCCACCCAGGGATCCCCACTCTGAAGAGTTTTAATGAAGAAAGGCTCTTACTTTGTCAAATGCTTTTTCTGCATCTATTGAGAGGATCATATGGTTCTTGTCCTTTCCTTCATTAATGTAGTATGTCACATTGATTTGTAGACGTTGAACCACCCTGGCAGTCCAGGAATAAATCCCACTTGGCTGGGGTGAATAATCCTTTTAATGTACTGTTGGATCCTATTGGCTGGTATCTTGGTGAGAAATTTTGCACCTATGTTCATCAGGGATATTGGTCTGCAATTCCTCTTTGGTGAGGTCTTGTCTGGTTTGGGAATCAAGGTAAAGCTTGCCTCATAGAAGGGTTTGGAAATTTTCCTTCCATTTCTATTTTTTTGAAAGAATGTCAGAAGAATAGGTAGGTACTAATTCTTCCTTAAATATTTGGTAGGATTCCCCTGGGAAACCATCCAGCCCTGGACTCTAGTTGGTTGGGAGGTTTTGATTAGGGCTTCCATCTCCTTGCTGATTATGGGTCCGCTCAGATTTTCTATTTCTTCCTGTTCCAGTTTTGGTAGTTTATCCGTCTCTCTAGGAATACATCCATTTCTTCCAGATTGCCTAATTTGTTGGCATATGGGTGCTCATAAGTTGTTCTTATAATTGTGTGTATTTCTTCAGTGTTAGTTGTGATCTCTCCTCTTTCATTCATGATTTTATTTATTTGGGTCCTTTCTCTTTTCTTTTTGATGAGTCTGGCCAGGGGTTTATCTATCTTATTAATTCTTTCAAAGAATCAGCTCTTAGTTTCATTGATCTGCTCTTCTCTTCTTTTGGTTTCTGTTTCACTGATTTTTGCTCTAAATTTTATTATTTCTCTTCTCCTGCTGGGTTTAGGCTTTCTTTGCTGTTCTTCCTCCAGCTTCTTCAGGTGTAAGGTTAGCTTGTGTATTTGAGACCTTTCTTGCTTCTTGAGAAAGGCTTATATTGCTATATACTTCCCTCTTAGGACCGCCTTTGCTGCATCCCAAAGCACAGTCATGCTTTCATTTTCATTTGTCTCCATGAATTTTCTTTAGTTCTTCTCTAATTTCCTGATTGGCCCATTCATTCTTTAGTAGGATGCTCTTTAGCCTCCATGTATTTGAGCTCTTTCCAAACCTCCTCTTTGATTGAGTTCTAGTTTCAAAGCATTGTGGTCTGAAAATATGCAGGGAATGATCTCAATATTTTGGTACCAGTTGGGGCCTGTTTGTGACCCAGGATGTGATCTATTCTGGAGAATGTTTTATGTGCGTTTGAGAAGAATGTGTATTCTGTTGTTTTATTTTTATTTTTTTTTATCTTTTTTTTTTTTTTATTTATGATAGTCATAC